TAGGTTGCCAAAAATAATTTGAATTGTTAAAAATAATTTGAGTTATCAAAAATAATTTGGTTTGTCAAAAATAATTTAAACTGCCAAAAATATTTTGAACTGTCAAAAATAATTTGGGCTGCCAAAAATATTTTGGGTTTGGGATTTGGGTGGTCAAAATATATTTTGGGATTTGGGTTTTTGAATTTGAATTTGGGTGGCATGTATAGATCTGGTTTATTTAATAAATATGTAGAAACTATTTTTTGAATTTGGATTTTTATCCTTTACTAGAAAAGATATAATTATAATAAAGTACCTCTAGCATTTCTTTTAGATATTTTTTATTGGGAGGATATAAATCACTTATTTATAGAAGTTGTAAAATTATTTTTAGTAAATTTCAATGATTATTATATTGAAAATTATCACAGTAAGATACAAGCATATATAAATACAAATAATAATATAGATAACATTATAAAACAAGCTTTTGTAATAGCCTTTGTAATAGATATTATTATAAAATTATTTATAATTATCAATTATAATATAACAAATATTTAATTTTTATATTTTATTAAATAAACGAAACCAGTATGAAATTAAAAACATTTTTAAAAGAACAAAAACATATTCTTATAAACTATCATCTTTAAACCTTCTTACAGAAAAAACATCTCTATTTTTGTTAGAATATTTTCAAAAAATCTTTAAAAATTCTTGAAAAAATAAATTATACAAAACAAAAAAAAAATAAAATGTAAATTAATTACATTAGGTATAACTGTTGATTCAAAGTGTTTCTCTACTGGATTTAGTACTAGCGTACTCCCATCATCAAATACTTGTGATCACTGTCACAAAAAACTTGATAATGGCGAAGTATTAACTTGTAGACATGAATATCACTATGAATGTTATTTCATACTTAAATATGGTTATTGTTATTATGAAGAATATTATAAAAGAAGAATTTACAAAAAGATTGGAAAAGGGATCAAATATTCTAACTTCTGAAGAAAGAGAAGAAAGAGAGAATATTTTAGTAGAAAAAAATGAAATAATAGAAGAAATCAAAATAAATGAAAGTCAAAAATTTTTAAAGTCACTTAACTATATTAATGTATGATAATATAAGCACTTGACCTTAATAAAGGTAAATTTGTTATAGTAAGGATATTTTTGCTATACCTATATCAAATATTATAATATTAATAATAATAAATAATAATAAATAATAAATAGTAATAATAATAATAATAAATAATAATAGAGAGTTAAAAAATATATAGTTTCATTTTATTCTATACTTTAAAATATTAAAAATATTAAAAATTAAACTTTACTTATAACAGGAATAGTTTTCTATATAGACAATATAATCTATTGTTATAAAAAGTGTTTCTAAGCAAACTTTTTGATAAATTGGATCAAATTAGATCAGGCTAGTAAACATAACGAACAAGTTTCAAAGAATATATTTGCAAAGTTTCACTGTTATTCATTTAGTTATTTTGTGATTTATCATATGAACAATTATTATTTAATTGATCTTAATTGTAAAACGCATATAAATAATTGTGTAATGTATAGATCAAAATCTAGACTTTCCCTATGTTGAAATAACTTCAAAGAATATAATTATAAAATTTCATCATTTATTAATTAGTCATTTTTGTAACTAGTCATATGTGTGACAATTTTTCAATTAAATCCTATTGTAAAACTAATATAAATATTTGTGTAATCCAATAATCAAAATCTAAACTTTTCCTTTGCTATTTGTTTACAAAATCATTTAAGGGATAATATAATTTTTCTTTGTTTTTAAGATGGATTTATTTTAATTGCACAATTTTAAAAATTTTCAAAATAATTATTAATAAAATAAATAAAAACAAATCAAATTATATAACTATTAAAATTTAATTCAACAGTAATTATTTTACAATTTCAATTATAGATTGAATAGTTATTATTCAGTTTTAAGTTATAATTAAAATCAAAACTAGAAATTCAAATTTATATTGAATTGTAAAAGCTATTATTTAATATTGTAAAGAAAAATAATACTTTGATTTAGAATTATCAAATATTAATTTATATTGATTTATATTTAATGCTAAGAAAATAAATCAATTAAAACATTCTTTACTCAAATTAGACAAAATAATAATATAAAATATATACTATTTAGTATTTATTGTATTTATTATAATGCATATAAAATCAATAAGTAATCAGTGAGAAAATAATTAAAATAAATCTTATTAATGCAAAGCAAAATGCTTTATTATAACTTTAAAATTATAAAGGGAATAATTTCACACTTTTAAAGTCTCCGTTTAGAGTGTTATCCGTTGTTAAGTTAAAAATAGATCTCGTTGTATCACTTTCGCTTTATAAAAAAGTCATCAAGGCGATCCTTAAAAGTAAATTTTCTTGTAAATTTTGAGTATGGGAATAGTAAACAAGAGCGGAATTTTTTGTTTGTTTGGATCAAATGTTATACAATTTATTGGAGCAAAAGGGTCACAAATTAATTGCCACGCATGACATATACTATAAAAGAATTTTTCTTTAATCTGGGATTTGACGCCTGCTGCAAGTTTACGGTGTACAATTAAAATTATCGCACAAAAAATGACGTTTTAGGAAAAGTGTTTATCAAAGTGAATTGTTTATGGTTAGAAAAAATGATTTTAAGTATTAAACATTTATGCATGAAATGTAAATGAACAACGAAAAAAGAACATTTATGCATTAAAATGAAATGAATGAAAGAATAACAACACCAGAATCAGATGGGTTGTATTTAATAATTATAGAAACTAACAAAACTATAATTTTTCAAGTAAACAAACACATGATAGTTATAGTTGTACACTGAAACAATCTATGTTCAGAGAGACGACTATTAAGTTTTATAAGCAAATATAAATTTTAATTGATAATAAAAATAAATGAATGAAAAAAAAGTTATCAAGTTAAAAAGTTCATGCGCACGATATAAAGAAAGTAATTAAATGACGGGTGTTTGCCATTTGTTATTTGTTATGCGAAAGAATAAAACATTTTGAATTTAAGAACGTTCGCCACGAAGACGACGAGCAAGTTGAATATCCTTTGGTTGAATAGTCACTCGTTTAGCTAGATTAAATGGATAGAATGTTTTACAAATTTATATGATGTAATACAATAAAGAAAGCATGAGAAAGGGGAAAAATTATTTGATGATCATCAAAGATCGTTACGTATTGTCTAATTTTGAATGCAATGTAAAACTTACCATGAATAGCAGCCAAGTTTGTGTCCTCAAACAAAGAGACAAGATATGCTTCAGCAGCCTATTCGATAAAATTTATTATTAATTAAATTTGCGCAGCAAATAAAGTAAAAATAAAGGTAAAAGAAAGGGGGCTTTCTTTAAACGGAATATATGTATAATAAACATACTTCTTGTAAAGCACCAATAGCACTTGACTGGAAACGTAAGTCTGTCTTGAAGTCTTGTGCGATTTCACGTACGAGACGTTGGAAAGGTAACTTGCGGATCAAAAGTTCGGTACTTTTTTGATAACGGCGGATTTCACGCAAAGCGACGGTACCAGGTCTATAACGGTGAGGTTTTTTGACACCTCCAGTAGCTGGTGCAGACTTGCGGGCTGCTTTGGTAGCAAGTTGTTTTCTTGGTGCTTTTCCTCCGGTACTTTTACGTGCGGTTTGCTAAAATAAATAAATAAATAAAAAATTTGAAAAAAAATGAGATGTGTAAAGCGAATAGTATTTAATAATAAAGCGAAAGTTTAAAGTTTTTCAAATAAGTAAAGTATGTCACAAACCTTAGTACGGGCCATGACTATCTTATTTCAAAAAATGGTAATTTTTCGGGTGGTTAAAAAAATGTTTTTAAAAGTGAAAAAGAGTTTTACAAGCAAAAAAAAATTGACTTGAAAATTTTAGAGAATGTTTTTTATGAGAGAAAAAGTTAATAAAAAGTTAAGTGACCACCAAAAGATCAGGAAAAAGGAAAACTCTGGGTATATGTGAAAAAATTGGGATATAACAGCCTCAGTAGTTGTCAAATAAAATGTTTAAAAGGGTCGGACCTATTTCAATTATGTGAATCAAAAATCAATTTTATTGGCAAATTGAACAATTCATTTGGTCATGGGTTCAAGGGAGTTTTTTGCTATGAGGTCATTCAAGTCGGTATTAAACGTCGTAAGAGATGTATTGCGACCATTAAAACCAAATATTTTTATTTCTGAGTTTATTTTTTTTTTTTTTTGGTTTTTTTTTTCTACATTTTGTCTATAGTCCTGAGTCAGATTTCGGATTTTCAAAAAAAAAAAATTTTTTTATTTACAAAAGTTGATCTTCAGCCAATCAGATTATTGTGCTTAAATAATTTTCATATAGGTAAATATGATTTTATCTTCAACATCAAATAATCCATATCTTCTATCTTCTTCAAATAATAAAGATGTCTTGATCATTTGTAATATTGAATCAATTCAAAAAGTAAAATAATAAAAAAAGATTAAAAAAAAAAAAATAATTAAAGCAAAAAACTTTACAAGGTTTAATATTCTGTAATATTTATATTATCTTATAAGTTTGTATAAGTTTGCAGAATATTTATATCTTAAAGTTTCCTAATATATAGTAAATGTAAATTTTTAATTTGAAATTTACTGCTAGATGATTTGTTTAAAGTAGAGTTTATCATTAATAAAAATATTATTGTTTCTTGTAATTTAAAAATTTTGTATATTTTCAACAAAACTTAATAAAATTTGGTTAATCTGTCTGGAATTAATAATACAATTTTTATTTTCTTATTAATGTTAATTATCTTTACTTATTGCTAATGCTTGGGGTTTCACCTATTATATTATTATATTGTAATTTTTTTTCACCTTTCAATTTGTTTTATATTTCAATTTTTTGAGATATACAATATTTTCAAATTTATCAATAAAGTCTAGAAGCAAATTCTTACTAAACCAATATTTTTTGAACTTGTATGGGCCATTCTGTCCTCTCATAGTAGAAAAAACAAAGATTTTGTCAACTTTTATTTTTTTAAGTTATGATAATTGACCATATGCCAATTTGACACACCCATGTAATTTTTTTTGTTCAGTTGAGATCATGTGATTTTATCAGTGGCAAATAAAGATTATCAACGTATTTTTTCAGGTCAAAAGACTTTTGAAAGACATGGCAAAAGAAAGAAAAGAAAAGAATAAATTGAATGGTAAATCAAAACAGGTTTGTTTTTTATATTACTGCACCTTTTTTTTCAAAATAATGACGAAAAATAACATTCTTTATTATTGTCACGAAGTATATAAAACCGACGCGTCATTGGCATGCTATTGAACTTCCACCTCTTTCAAATAATTCAAATAATTCACACTCAAAAAAACTTTCTGATGATCAAATTTCAATAAAATTTGAACTTGCCAAGGAACTATTAAAAACAGAAAATGATAAGTATGCAACAAATTCTTCCACACATAGTGCTTCAGATCGTAATTTTTATGCAACCATGCTTAAATCTGGCACTATGAAGGATAAGCTTTCAACTTTATCTGTGTTGGTGGATGAATCACCACTTCATGCCGTTCAAGCTTTAGAAACATTGATTAGTACTGCTAAAAAGAAAAGTAGAAATATATCCATTCAAGCAATAGAAAATATAATGAATTTAATGCTTGATTCTGTATTGCCCAATCGAAAATTAAAGTAAGTTTATTATTTTTCAAATCACAATACTTCATAAATAAAAGATTAAATTAATTATTAATATTGTTAAATGATTATAGATATTTTCGTGATCAACCATTAAATGATCCAAAAGTAACAAATGAACATTTGATAGTTTGGGCATTCGAAGATTTCATTAAAAATTATTATTATGACTTTATTCGTGTGATTGAAGTAAGTGAAAAAAAAAGAAGAGATATATGAATATATGAAATATTTTGATTTTTAATTTTTATTTTTTTAATTTTTTGCAATTTTCGCAATTTTTTTGACAGATGCTTTCACATGATGTATTATTGCACGTAAGACAAAAGACGATAATGATTATTTTCACGTTATTCAAAGAGAAACCAGAACAAGAACAGAATTTGCTAAAATTATTGGTTAATAAGTTGGTGTGCATAACATTTATTTATAAAATTTCTGATTTATTATAATATTATTTATTTATATTCACTATTATTTCTTAGGGTGATAAAGAACGTAAAGTTGCGTCCAAAGCTTCTTATTTAATTAATCAAATATTTACGGTTCATCCACTTATGAAATTTCACATAGTACGAGAAATTGAACAATTGATTTTACTTCCAAACGCAAATGAACGTTCACAATATTACGGAGTTATTACATTAAATCAAATAATTTTATCAAAACAAGATGTAAAAGTAGCTAACAAATTAATTGATATTTATTTCGTCCTTTTTACAAAATTATTGGAATCAAAGGACAAAGAGATAAAAAAGAATAAGAATAATAAGAAAGATTTTACTAAATCCAGATTAAAGATAACTAAATCCAGAACAAGGATAAAGACAAAGTCAAAAAAAAAGGTTAATAATAAAATTGAAATTGACGATGCTGTGAATTCTAAACTTGTCGCGGCTCTTTTGACAGGTGTTAACAGAGCTTATAAGTTCGCCCAAGTGGATCATAGTGTGTAAGAAGAAAATTTTCTATTATATTCTCTCTTTTATATTATCTTTCATGTTCTCTATTGTGAGAAATCTAATTTTTATATTAATTTGATCAATTAACTTTAGGTATGAGGCTCACTTGAATATTTTATATCGGATTACTTACATTGGAACATTTAATATTAGTATACAAGCACTTATGTTGATCTACCAAGCGTCTTTCAATAAAGAAGTATATAATTTTATTATTAATTATTATATTTTATCTTCACCTAATTTATATTAAAAACTCTCTTTATCATTTATCAAGTCATTATCTGAACGGTTTTATAGAGCCCTTTATCAATCATTACTTGATCCTCGACTTGTCACATCATCTAAGCATGCGATGTATTTGAATCTTTTGTTTAAATCTTTAAAGAATGATTCATTAATCGTACGAAAAGAAGCTTTTATTAAAAGATTAATACAAATTTGTGGACATCATTTTCCACCTTTTATATGTGGTGCACTTTATTTAATTTCAGTGGTACGTTATAATAAAAGAACTTTAATTCTTTCTTTCTTTCTTGCATATAAAAAAAATTTAGCAATCACCAAATTTTTAATTCTCTCTCTTTTTTTTTTTAGATTGTACAAAAACATCCATCACTTTATTATTTTATCACAAAATCTGAAGACCATGATAATAATTCTTCGGAAGAAAATTCGCGAAAATATGATGGTCGTAAAAGAGATCCACAATATAGTGATGCGGATCGATCTAGTTTATGGGAATTAGTAAGTAATAATTTTAATTTTACAAAAATATTGATAAATTAAATTGGATTGAATTTACATAATAAAAAACAAATTTTTTTTTTTCGATAGTCCCTTTTCGCTAATCATTTTCATCCAACGATTTCTTTATATGCCAAACAAATACTTGAGAATAAATCAATCGAGATTCAACCAGAACTTCATAATCATACATTATCACATTTTCTTGATAGATTTGTATATCGTAATCCGAAAAAGAGAGATCGTATTAAAGGTGGTGGTAACGTTTTACTTCAACCAACCATAGCCACCGAACCTGGAATGGTAATCATGAAAAGGAGTACCGGAATTTCTCCTGATGAAATAAATGTTAATTCTAAAGAATTTTGGGAAAAGAAATTAGAAGACATACCGGTGGATCAGGTTTGTTTTAATAATAATAATAATAATAATAATAATAACAATAAATGTATATAATGAATGGATTATATGTATATCATGAAATTATCAAATTTTTTATATAACCAATTGAATATTATATTTAAATAATGAATATTGAAAATTTTTTAGATATTCTTTCATAAATATTTCACACAAAAACAATCCAGTGAAAAGAAAGAAAAGAAAGAAAAGAAAGAAAAGAAAGAAAAGAAGAAGAAAACAACCGATGATATAGATAATTTTATTGATCAAGAGAATGAAGAAGATGAAGAAAAGGAGATATGGAAAGCTATGAAAGCAACGTTACCAATTAAATTAGATTCTGACCTTGATGATGAGGATAGTGAAGAGGATTTAGAGAATTTAGATTTCTCTTCAGATGATGAAGAAGAAATATACGAGGAAGGTGACGAAATAGATGAGGAGGAGGAATGTGAAGATGATGAAGTAGATGAGGAGGAGGAGGAAGATGAAGGAATAACTACGGGAGATGATGATGGTTTCGATTTTATGGAAGATGACAAAGATATTGTTAGCAGTTCAGAAGATGGTGAGCAGAATTTTTCATTCTCTTTATTCATTATTTTTATTTTATTCAAATTGTTCAAATCAGGATTAACTTTAAATAAAAAAATTTTTTTTTAAGATAAACGAATTCGTAAGAAAGTCAAATTAAAACATCTACCGACATTTGCAAGTTATGAGGATATAGCAGCTTTGATCCATTGAATGCATTGAATAATTTTATTATTTAATTTATTTTAACATATATTCAGTCATACACCAATCTGTCTTTTTGTGGTTTCTTAAAAGAAGAGTTAACATTTTGATTGCTTTCTCCTTTAATACATTGTTTTTAAATTATTGAAAAAATTATATATATACTTTATATATGTTTTGTTTTCAATATTCCCTTGAATTTCTTTCTAGACTTCTTACCAATTAATTAATTTGCAACCGGATTTTTAGAATAGTCTACTATTCTTTCAAGTTTCTATTAATATTCGCTATTTAATGACCTACAGAAAAAAGAGTTAAATAAATTGTACAGTCAAAATAGTCAAAATTAAAGCAAAATTAATAATCAATAAAAATAATCACTAGATAATCTATATTTTTTAAAAAAAGAAAGTTCATTGTAAGTCCAGGTCTGGCACGATCTGCAAACTTTCATAATGTATACTGTTACCGTAACGATAAATTTATTATGACTAAAATGCATAACATATTCTGAAATTTTACCGTCCCGAAAGAAATTTATGAAAAAAATTTAACTTTCTATTATCCCTTTTTATCTTGTTTCTCTTAATTTTATTCGTTATGCCATTGTTTAATTCCCATTCTATTACTTTACTACATCCGTCTGTCCGTACATGTTTTAGATGGCTTTTCAAATTATCTATTGTTTCCGTTATAATTTTAATAGCTAATCTTTTATCCTTACGTAGTTCTGTTATTTTGTCTGTAAGTATTTTTGGAATATAGAACTTAATGAAAAGAATTGGGGTTCAGTCCCTCCCAATTAAAATACGTTAACATTATTCAAATTTTGTAAAAATTTAAGAATGTTTTTGACAAAAATAGCATAGGTTAAACAAAAACACGATAAATAATTTACGTATCAATTTTGTAATGCATTCATTGTATTAAGCTACCTTTTTAAAAGGTATTATAAATACACACTTTTTTTTTTTTAACTCAATAAATTCAATAGAATTTTTTAGAAAACCAAATGAAAAATTATTTCGCCCCAAAAATCGTTCCGGGATTTGAAAATTTACATTCGGATATTGTAATTATACCTGGATTCAAAGGTTCAAGATTATTTAATACGGTCACCAAAAATGCCGGATGGTTAGAATTACACACCCCATTTTTACCTTATAGTAAAGAAAATATAGATTTACCTTTGGAAATTGAAAAGAATGAAGAACATTGTTTAGTACCTGATGGTATATTCGCGAGAGTTTTATGGATGAAATTTTATGATACATTAATAAAACATTTAGAAGATTTAGAAATAAAATGGAATCAAGATTTACAAAAATCATTTGATGAAGAGAAAACAAATTCAAAATCCCCTCTTAGATTTCATAAATTTTCTTATGATTGGAGACGAAGTAATGAAGCGAGTGTGGAAAAATTTATAGAATTTCTTACCGAAATATATAACAACAATAATAATAATCCGATTTATATAATAGCTCATTCTAATGGAGGATTAATAACATTATCAACTTTACATCAAGCACCTCATTTGATTGCCGGAGCGATATTCGCCGGTACCCCTTTTCACGGAGCACCAGGAATACTTAGAGATCTTAGATTTGGTAGCGATACATTATTTAATAAAAAAATACAAGACGATGCTGCATTTATAACATTTAGACCAGTATTGGGATTTTTACCTTGGAATAGGATTGCTTTTAGAGATATTGATACAAATGAAGATGTATACGTCGATTATTTCGATATTAAAGAATGGTTAAAAAATGATTGGGTAAATATAATTCATGAGGATAATTTAAGATATTTAGAATTGGGAAGTAAAGAAAAAAGGATTGAATATTTAAATCGTACTTTGGAAAATACCAAAGAATTTCATGAAACTTTAAAATTTCGTAAAGATTTTGACTATCCACCATTGGTCACTTTGGCAAGTGGTAAACTTCCAACTAATGGTGGATACATGGTTCAAAGAGATGATGATAAAACAAAAATTCTGTATGAAAATCCAATTGTGGTTAATGGTGATGGAGCCGTTCCAATAGAAAGTACTAAATTACCTGAAGGAATACCACATAAAACTATTTTCTCTGAAAGATCACATGGCGAATTATTAGAAGATTTAGAAACAGTTGGTGAAGCTTTATTGTTTTTATTCTCTAAAAATAATTAAATTAGATAATGAATACATTCTTTCCTTTTATTTAATAAATTAATTGCTGATCCGGCACTTAGTGGTACAAAATCTATTACATTTTGACCAAAGTAGAAGATAAAATTCCCCTTTTTGGATCTATCATATCTATCATACGGTCTAATAATTGAATCAATTGATTTTATAAACGTGAATTAGCTATTAAAATTTAATATAGGAAGTTTCGGACGTTTTATTATAATAATAATATTATTATTAAATAATATTATTATTTTATCATAGACTTTGAGCATTATTACTATAAAGTGCTGCCTCTGTTTGCATACCTACTTATCAACCTTGTATTGTAGAAATCTTGTTCTTCAATTTCATTGGACCCCACATATTTCAATAATTCATTACGCATTGTGATTTTGATTATATAATTTGTTGTAAACCTACAACCATACGCGTTAAGTCAAGTCATAGACGTTTGTGACGTATCCAATGACGTATTGTATTGACGCAAGAAGTAACTCATTACGTGGACGTTACGTTAACGTAATTCAATTAATAAGAAATTAACATCCATTAAATTTTTTTTTCTTGATATTTTTCTTCAAGAAATATAGAAAGAATATGTATATAGAAAACATTTAGATCGAGATATAAATTTTATTGATTTGCATTATATGCAAATAGTCAATACCACGCCAAAGTGGTGTAAAACGTAAACATGACATGTATGTCACAAGGCGCAGCATGTGACGCAATAATTACAATATGTCATTTTTCAACTAAGAGAAAACTTAAACTAGACCCCAGGGTTTAGGTCATTTATTCTAGACCCCGGGGTTTAGGTCATTTTGTCTAGACCCTTTCTTAATTTATAAATATCAAGTTAAATTTTAGTTGTACAACCCATCAAATAAATAATCTTTTGTTATTATTATTATTTTTATTATTTTCGTTTTGAATATTTTCTTTTGAATCAAATTGTTTTGTGGGATTAGTTCCTTTTCTTTATTTTCACTAGGTTCATGACTAATTAAAATATTTAATAATTATTACACCTAAAGCTGATAATCTTTTTTTTTTAGGTTCATGGAGTT